TTATCCAGACTTGTGAAACGTGAGGATTACGTCATCATTCAGCGCGTTTGAAGGGGTTGATGGGGAGATGTGCCGATGTGTGTTTTCTTTATTGATCTACAGCTGTTGGTCCAAGAAATAAACGCTGGGAGGTTTTAATCTTAAATGCTATAAAACAATTACTTTTCACAGATCTGTATAGCTTAATGTATATTCGATACGTATTTAAGTAAGGGGTGTGAATGTGTTTGTTCAGAGCCGCTCTGAAATTGCCAAACCAGGGCATGTTGGTTTGTTTGTTTGTTGTTTAACGCCGCACTCAGCAATATTCCAGCTGCATGACGGCAGTTTGTTTGTTTGTTGTTTAACGCCACACTCAGCAACATTCCAGCTATATGACAGCAGTCTGTAAATAATCGAGTCTGGACCAGACAATCCAGTGATTAATATCATGAGCATCGATCCACACAATTGGGATCGATGACATGCTTCAATCAAGTCAGCGAGCCTGACCACCCGATCCCGTTAGTCGCCTCTTACGACAAGCATAGTCGCCTTTTACGGTAAGCATGGGTTGCTGAAGACCTATTCTACCCCGGATCTTCACGGGTCATATGACGGCGGTCTGAAAATAATCGAGTCTGGACCAGACAATCCAGTGATTAAAATCATGAGCATCGATCCACACAATTGGGATCGATGACATGCTTCAATCAAGTCAGCGAGCCTGACCACCCGATCCCGTTAGTCACCTCTTACGACAAGCATAGTCGCCTTTTACGGTAAGCATGGGTTCCTGAAGACCTATTCTACCCCGGATCTTCACGGGTCACCAGGGTATGTAATCTTATTATGGGAGAAACTGAGGTCCGGTCTTACCGGGATATGAACACACGATCCTAGGTTTGTGGCACGCAAAAGGGACGTTACTCTGCAGGACCTTAGCCAATTGGGCCACCCTTGCACAACCACCTACTAACAGTAAACTGTTTTGTTTGTTGTTTAACGCCGCACTAAGTAATATCCCACCCTTATGACTGTAAAGAATCGAGTCTGGACCTGACAATCCAGTGATTGACATCATGAGCATCGATCTACGCAATTGGGATACGATGACATGCATCACCTAAGTAAGCAAGCCTTACCACCCGTTAGTCGTCTCTTACAAGCATGTGCCTTCACAAGCATTTCATGTCTATGGTATTCAAGGGAGGCTATATCCTAAGGGTTTTTTGTTTGTACGCCGTAGTCAGAAACATTCCACGGCGGTATGTTCATAGTCGAGTCTGGGACAGACAAACCTGTGGTTGACATTATGAGCACTGTATCACCAAGCCTTACCACTTGTCTCCCCTCTTACGCCACGGGACATAGCGCTGGGGACCTATTTCAGCCCTTGTCCCACAGATAATTGTCTGTCTTATATAAAGTCCCAGAGAATTCGCAGCAATTTCCTGGTTTCGAATTGTGAAATAAAAACCTACAATGTAACATACAACTCGGGACGCCAGTTATGTGTCACCACCAGGATGAAATAGATAGCCACATGTGCGAGTCGACGGCCACTGGGGACCAACCACAAACAGCTGTGAAAAGAAGTCCCCATGCAAAGACGCTGCCAGACACACTTCAACAACCCAAATCTTCTGGTATTCTACTTGCACTGCGCGGGCGTCAGGCTTACTGAAAACAATCTCCCGTTTGATGATTACACATCTGGCTCGTCATAATCACCGCCCTACCCCCTCCCCTCCCTTGCCCAACCCCACCATCCCGGAACTAAAGGTGACATTGTAGCAATGCCCGTGTAATGAAACGACTTATACTCTACTCTCGGTTACATACAAGGAAATATTTGTCAGTAATGTTTTATTAAACGATAAACCGTAACGGAAGAAGGGGTACTCACTTCAGCGCAGATATTCTTAATAACGCATAGCGAAAGGGGTAAAAGGCTACAATATCAAACCTATCGAATACACATTACACATCTGCCAGCCTCGTATTGGTGTCCGTCGTAGCACGTGGTTATCTTGTTCATCATAGTAGCAGAGGGTTGTGGTGATTTCGTAACCCAAACGAATTCGTACCCCTTGAAATTTCGTACCCCTATAAAATTCGTATACCTAAAAATATAAAACTTCGTAACCCTATATTCGTTTATAGGATATATTATCATTGGATTATAGGTTTCGAAACAGGCGGCCATTTTTATCGCGATGTCTCTTGGTAGATGTGCAGATTTCTGACTCAGATCCAACTCTAAGTTCATATTTCCTGTAGCCTATTTCATTGCTTCCTGCACGGGGTTACGAAATTACTATCGATTTGAGGTACGATTTTCATTTCTAGGGGTACGAATTCGTTTGGGTAAAGAAGTTAAGAAAACACCCGTGGCAGATGGGCACGTACACACATTGAGACTGGAATTGTGTACAGGAAATTCTGACAGTGGTTGACAAGCATCAGCTGCGACCCTCATGCAATGAATCACACCTTGAAACCACTCATTCGTCATATTAGTAAGAACTGGGGAGTTATTCTAACCCGGATTCGCCACATTTGTGTTCTACCTAAAATTTATTCAACTTTATATCATTTTAAATTATATTCAAGTTCTTAACCAAATTGATTTAAATTAAGTACAGGTCCAAGTGGAGAGGCCGTTGTTAACTTTTTCTGACGTATTACTTGTCCCCAACTTGTATTTTCATGATTCAAATGAAACTGTTTAAAATCCGGGGTGGTGTGTGTGTGTGTGTGTGTGTGTGTGTGTGTGTGTGTGCGTGTGTGTGAACTGGCTACGTCACTGGATTCATATATATGAAGGGGAGCTGTGATAATATGCTAAGCTGACATGGCATACAGCTTACACTTTCAGTAGCAAAGCCTGCTTAGCAGGGGAATCCCGCCTAGTTCTGGTTCTACAGCGCCTGTGGAGAATGTAATTTGATACCAGGCTGAAACACCACTGATCAACAAGAAAGTGGTGTCATCAGAAATATCTCATTTACTTAGAAGTTAAAATAAAAGAAGCCCTTACTTTTTCCCATCTGACTTTTTTCCATCTGACTTTTTTCCATCTGACTTTTTTCCACCTGACTTCATCATAGGTCCACCTCCAATTACAAGTAAATATCCTGATGTAATGATACAGCCTGGCTCCAGTAAACGGTCCAAAAGCAATATGTTCACACTTCCGGTTGTACAGGTTTTCCCTGTAGTTCAAGTTCAATACCTGGATCTTTTTATCTCAAGCCATATAAGGCATTATTCTACATTTTGTATTAGTTGTTGGTGTATTTGGAAGGGAGACAATCACTGAAAAAGGTGGAGCTTTAGTATAGTGTAGCAATCTGGTTGGTTAAAGAGCATCACCCTTTCTGGATCATTTCATTCAGAAATAGCTGGTTCTGGAATTCACTGTGTGTCAACAGTTTACACTTTATCGCTGGTATCTATGATCATGGTGAAAGACCTGTCACCCTAGGTCAAATATATCGGCATTGTTTTGTGTAAATATCATGATATCATCTATTCAAATGGACAGTTCTTCATTAGGGGTAATCACGCCGAAGAACCGGGTTCGATTCCCGACATGTGTACAATGTGTGAAGCCAATTTCTGGTGTCGCCCGCCGTGATATTGCTGGAATATTGCTAAAAGCGGCGTAAAACCATACTCGCTCACTCACTCACTCACTCATTAGGGGTAAACGATGTGACTGAAGGGTCACATACTTCTTGTCCAGGATCTTTCTATCTCACAAGTGCTAAAAACAAACTGTCATTGCTACAGTCTTGTGGGATAATTAAGTAAACAGTTTATTAAATTGTATTGGCACTTGTATCCTGTGCAAATGAAGAAAAACATTCAGAAGCCACTAGTAGTCGGTCTTACTTGACATTTTGTCTGTACAGCAACCCAGGGAAGTGGCTGACATTTACTTATGCCTATTACTTCTCTCAATTGTGTCTAATTCTAGTCCAACAGGGTAATTACGTTCAGCCCGATGAAAAATGACCCCATATATCCACTTCGCGAGGAAAATGTTTCCTGTCGGTTGGTTTGAATGTTCGGCTTCATTCCCTTCCACCGAATACTAACACACATCGCTTATAAATACATAAACATGTGGTGGTTCAAATAAGAGAATATTGTATTATTAATACATGTAACATCTGTTTACAAAACATCAGCTTATCAATTGATCGGAATACACGTGTTATAAAACCTGTGTGACACATGGTGTTAAACAGCTTCCCTTCCACACCATCACATGGTCGTACGGGAATAATCACATACAGCATGGCGCTCAAGCCAGCATTTGAAACCGAAAGCCGTCACAATCCTGAGGAAGTATCAAAGTACACAGGTGACAGTTCACAACTGCAAACCCCAATACATGTATAACACCTTGAACTTTGTGAAATTTATTCATATCATCTCATTTAAAAAAAATCAAGGAAACTGTAACAGCAACTGTCAGTTGTAGGACGTTTTTTAAGTTCAATAGTGAACATGGGCGGATACAGCTTAATTGAAAAAGGGGGGTGCACAATTAAGATCTATTTATTGTCTTTGGTGGTAATTTATACAGAAATAAAGATTTTTTTCGAAATAAAAAAAAGGGGGGGCGGCGCACCCCCCTCTGTATCCGCCCATGGTGAATAGAAAAAATATTGTATAAATAAAATAGATGTTCGTTTCTCACAATTAGACCTATTCTGTCCAATATAGACATTTGTACACCTACACACAAGCTTTGTTGAAATGCCCTTTTTCGAATATATGGAAATTGACTTTTCAAAATATCTTGATACTTAAATGCCCCTTTCATTGAAAACATCGGTTCTTTGTAAATCCACGTTGATCGTCAGTGTCCATAGACAGATGGTCTTTGTTTCCAAGTGAAAGAAAGAGGGTCGTCTCAACTCGTCTCATTGTCTTAGGCTCGAGACAAAGACACTATCACAATCAATATGACAAACTTCTACCAACTCGCCAGTGGAAATACTTACATTGTCCTGCGCAAACGGTCCCTTTAAATCCTCAAGGTATAGTTAATAATCCGCTTTTGCCTGGACTGCGAACACTCCCGCTTGATTTCGAATCACTCTTTTGTCCCTGCATACATTGTTTACATTGTACACAGAGCGCACATGCTGTCGTGTGAAGTCCAATACACGTGGGTTTCGTGCTAGGGTCGCTTTACGTTGATGTCACCTTCGATGTGGCCTGAAATGAACAAGAATGAACTAACTTCAGTCAAATCCAATCTTGGCGACCCCGTTGCCAAGCGTCGCGACCACTGCCTTAACTATTCTCTGTCCATAAGAAACACTTCCAAATCACTCATGTGTATCCCCGTGCTATTTTTAGCTATTTATCGCTTTTGACCAATCACAACGGATGTAGCGGACATCGCCGGGGATGGGGAAATCGGCACGTCGCATTCAACGAAATAAAAGAGAGCTTATGCAGCTGTTTCGCCTGTGGCGCGTTGTACGTCGGTTGTACGTCGGTTGTACGTCGGTTGTACCATTTATACTTACTATACATGTCCTCTGAAGTCCTGTACAAAACGGAATATGTTACATCGACGGTGTCACCAATGTGTCTGAAACTCACTGAATTGTCTTAGCCATTGTTCGGGACTGGAAATGGCAAGTCACATAGAAAATGTCATTTTGATCATAACACTATTGATTGGTGTATCGGTGTGTTATATGTGCAGTAAGTATGATATTAATGAAAGGAAAGATGACACAGTCTGGGCATATCGAGTTTGGGGTATTCCTTGACCTTTGACCTTCAGGTACTAGCATGCGTTTAATATAACATTTTCGACATATCCTCGGACGCGAGTAGGTGTTTGAAGCTAACGTTTTGAGAACATGTTCCTAGCAATGCTGTGTTCACATAATATGCTGAATTTGAAAAAATTGAAAAATGATATTTTGCTCTGTCCCTTTGTGAAATTATGTATGCAGATACAGTATATCTCGTGTACCGCTGTTTTAGATTGTATTTTTGAAACAGCATTTTACTTATATGAGGGCTTGGCAGCTTACTGTCGAGGCAAAGTCCAAAGTGATGCAGGATGATCAATACGGTTTACTGTTTGGGTGAAGCTCGAACGCGCGAGTGTTTTCAACAAACCAAGGTTTGGTTTGTTATTTAACGCCGTACTCAGCAATGTTCCAGCTATATGACAGCGGTCTGTAAATAATCGAGTCTGGACAAGACAATCCAGTGATTAATATCATGAGCATCGTTCCACGCAATTGGGATCGATGACATGCATCAACCAAGTCAGCGAGCCTGACCACCCGAACCCGTTAGTCGCTTTTTACGACAAGCATAGTCGCCTTTTACGGCAAGGATGGGTTGCTGAAGACCTATTCTACCCCGGATCTTCACGGGTTGACAAACCAAGGATCACAGTCGGGGGGAGTATGGGATTCGAACCAACAACCTGCTCGCTAACCCTGGAATGGCTATTGGCAACAACTCTATACAACGAGGTTCGTTATCTTAAGGCGGCGACGGGGCGGTCGGGTACCCTAGTGGTTAAAGCGTTCGCTCGTCACGCCGAAGACCCGGGTTCGATTCCCGACATGGGTACAATGTGTGAAGCCCATTTCTAGTGTCCCCCGCCGTGATATTGTTGGAATATTGCTAAAGGCGGCGTAAAACCATACTCACTCACTTAAGGCTGCGACAGATAAACATAAAACGGGATATGTATAAGTTTCATTGGTACCATGAAACAAAAAAACAGCAGGCAGCTTTTCAAGTGACCTGAACTGTAATTCACCAAGACAACTGGATGCATATTCAAACCGAAAAATCAACAATTAAAACAACAAAACAAGTTCCTTTTTTTAATTATACTCAAAACTACACCGAAGTCGTAAAGGATCTAATCAACATTATATATTCACTCATCGAGGTATGAAGATAACAGTGGAATATTTACATTTAATTTTAGAAAGACCAATACAAAGATTACAAAGACAAAGTCTAGCGGGTTAAATGAAATCAGCATTAGAAAAAATATCTTCTTAAGAAGAGTAGTGCGTAATAAAAGATTTCATAGACTGTATTTTTGTTTATAATGTATACCTACCCGCGGTTCAGTGTATCCCCGGATAATATATCCCTACTGTCTAGTGTCGTGTCCATTCCCTCACCATCAACTCGCCCAGCTTCCTGTCAGGCATCCCATGGATACATCCCGTCACAATTATTATAACATTATATTGTGATATACTGCACAATCCATCACCACAATATCGGCTATTGTGCACCTCAAACACAATACGTAAGGCAGTGTATGTAGGTAAATATATGATAATATCAATCGATACGACAAGAAAGGCTCGGGACTGATGTCGGTACGGAAACAGGCCAGGTGTGGTCTCGTGTATCGATTACCATATAGGTAGTATTGATTTTCATAGTACATTTGATCACGTGGCTCATAAAACGCCAGGATATGAAGGTTTATGGGATTAAGCAGTCGTTAATATCCTTCATGTCGGTAAGAACTTATGCAAGTTACACTTAACTAACTTTCTTCCGACCTCGGTTGCAAGGAAACTAGGGGAGTGACTCTTATACGACTTCCAGAGGCAAGGAAGTTAACTGTCAAGTTTCAACTTTTGTAGTCAGTTACCTCCCTTGCCTCGGGAAGATGTGCCTCAAGATGATTTTTTAGATGGGCCGTGGAGTCTAACAATTTATTTTTACACGACATTCAGTAATTGTAAACTGAGACCCCACTATAAACCATTTTGACGGACCATTCTCCTGTTATGTCGCTGGTACAAACTACACGAGAACATTTAGGACTTACATAGGACCAGGGACCATTTTCTGTCGGGGACACGGGTGGCCCAGTCGTCTAAGGCGCCGCGATTCGCTGTGCAGAGTTAGGCCCTTGGACACGCCAGAAAACTATGATTGTGGGTTCGAATCCCGGTTCGCCCCGATTATGTTTCTAGGTTTGTCAGCACCATACCCGTGCTCGTGGGTTTCACCGAAGTGGTAAACGTCCGAGACCTGAATTACTTCGGGCTTTCCTCCCACATTAAGCTGACACGCCGTGATATAACTGTAATACTGTTAAAAGCGGCGTTAAACCCAACTCACTCACTCACTACATAGGACCAGGCCCTGTCTTTGATACATGCCCTGAAATAAACATATTCGAGAACTCCCATGTCTACCGAGTCTGCTAGTGTAGATGACTTCAGTTTCAGGAATGAAGACATACTCTAGGCTCCTATATGTTACATACATGACCATACAATTTAACCCAAAACATCTTTATCCAATATATCAATTCAGAGACTGAATGGTAATCTAGACCAGGCCGGTAGCAGAACCACGGAATTTGTTCAAGGCCCGGATGTATGTATACGGACGCTCACTCACCTGATGTGACCGCACCTCGACCGCAAACACTGACGCGTGTACCCTGTGACCCCACGGCATTATGCAGTGCACATACAGAAGACAGATGCTCCTTAACCTCATTGTATTTCTCTTTTAAAAATAATCTTTTTCGGGGTCTAAAAAACTTTTCAGAAAACTTCAGCCTATATTTTCAAACCGTGACCATACTTACAGACCATCAAACCGTTACCATGTACAGTAGAACACGGATATGAATTTAATGTTATTAAATGAATGTTATGAAATGTTATCAATTGAATGCTATGAAGTGATCACTGCTAAAACAAGTTATTGCGTCATTTACGTGTATTGTGTTTATCCAAGACGACGGACGTTTCCGAGCGAAAACGTATATCACGAACAACGGATATAACGAACTGATTCCTCTGGCCCCTTGTGATTCGTTATATCCATGTTCTACTGTATATAATATTAAACAAAACCGACATACCCTTTGCCTTCAGACTGTGTGTATTAAGCTATTGTTATGTATGTATGTATGTATGTATGTATGTATGCATGCATGTATGTATGTTAAAGTAAAGTTTTCACTGTTTCTTTGTGCTTGCAATAAAACGTGTATCTGTCAATCTATCAACTAGGATCTAATTATCCATCTACTAGTATGAATGAATGAATGAATGAATCTATCTATCTATCTATCTATCTATCTATCTATCTATCTATCTATCTATCTATCTATCTATCTATCTATCTATCTACGAGTATCCATCCATCCATCTATTTGAACCGCGTCCTCCGCCTTCCAGCCACCTGCAGGGTCTGCTGGCACTATCTTCCCATGACCTCTTGGACACTGGTCAGTCTCAAGAACCGGGTCACGGTGACCTCCCGCACTGAGACAAAGGACGCATTTATTCCATATGACCACGCGATGGCCGTCCTCGTTTTAAGGCAGCACACGGTGGTGTTGTGGAGGGCAGGAGTGGTCTGTTGTGAAGCGGTGTGTTTATGTTGTGCAGTTGATCTGTACGTGATGTGTTGAGTAATAGGCTATGTTGTGGATTTAATTTGTAGGTTGTTTGGTGATACGTGTTTAATTGGGTACTATGTGCATTTTGACCTACTTTACTAGTGAGTGAGTGAGTAAGTTTGGTTGTACGCCGCTTTAAGCAATATTCCAGCAATATCACGGCGGGGGACTCCACACATTGTACCCATGTCGGGAATCGAACCCGGGTCTTCGGCGAGACGAGCGCTTTAACCACTAGGCTACCCGACCGCCCCACCTACTATACTAACGCTGAAGGGGGCGGTGTCACCACAGGTCCTACAGATACGTACCCCAGGTACGTTTTTTTATGCAGAAATGTACCCTAGCCAACATCAGAATACAGGATGAGTCCATTCCGACGCAGGTCGTATAACGCAATGCGCTTAACCGGCTCCTTGAATGATTACGTTTTCGACACGTCCCTGATGCCAAACCGCGTTAAAATTCACAATGGCAGCACGCGTTGTATATTTTTCATTCGGTATTTCCTTTCGATAAATGGATCAGAACTGCCATACTGTTGTTTGAGATACATTGTAGTGTGCAATATAAAAAACGAGCAAACACAGTGACGTATGTACATTACTCAAATACTCCACGATGCACAGCATCATTCAACATGCACTCGTCATCAGGCGGACTGCAACTACAACATGAACCGTTTTCGGTTTCGGGTTTCGGAATATCCGCCGTCCACCGTTTAGGGTACCGGGTACCTTTCGGTATTCTGATTTTGGCTAGGGTACATTTCTGTATACAGAAACGTAAGCGGGGTACATATATGTAGTACCCGTGCCGACAACGACCCCTTCAGCGTTACGAACCTCTCACACATGTAACACAATCCCATCTTATCAGTGTCTTCCAGAGGACTATGCTAAGATAGCAAGCAATGGGCACTGTGATAGATCATTTTAGAGATGACGCCTTTCTATTTAACTAGAGGCAGTCTCACATGATAGGGTTTGGTCCCAAACAGACAAGAGTCATGCGTCATTC